GTCAGCGCTTGTTTCTGGAGCCTGCTCTCCATCTCTACCTCAAGCCCCACCAGGGCTGCCCGGAACTCCTTTTCGGATAGCCGTGTTGATGCTGTTGTTGCGCCTGTAGCGCCGGTTCTGGACTTTGCATTTGCCGCTGTCGCTTGTTTTGCTGTTCCGACTGCAGCTCTGTTCAGACCAACTTTGAGGATCATGCAGCAGTGCTACAGACGGAGACAATGATGGCGATGACGATGATGATGGCGGAGACGATGGTGGTAAATTGAAGCTGATCTTCCCTGAAAGTGTTCAACTGATGCAGCTATGTTGTCATTACCTTCCGCGTGGTAGATGCAAAGACTGGCACGCGTAGCCGGACAAGTCTGCACTCAAACCAAGGCATCGAAAATAGTCTCTGCGACGATTGCTGATGAACACCATCCGACCCATCCTAACACATGCACTCTGGGTATACTCTATGATTACCCTGAACGGTCGCAAGTGAGCTTTGAAGTCACTGTGCAATACAACTCTAACTCAACTTGTACTTTAATCAACAACGTTTTCTCCAATACTGGACAAATCTTGTCTCACCTGCCGTAGAATATGGCCCATCCAGTCTTAACGGATGTTTTCATCCGCTAGACTCTCCGTGGGACCATCGCGAGCCCAAAAGGTCTTGAATCAGAACGTGTTCCAAGCAGTTCGTCTGGAAATGAGGGATTCCGACAGAGTGTCGGCACCTGTTGAAGCAAGAGCTTGTTACAGTATGCCACAGACCGCCGAATGGAAACTCGTACTTCCACCCTGGGATTGGCGACCCGGCATCGAAAGCTTGAGGGTCATGCTGTTGAAGGCCCAACCCTTCGTTAACGTAACCATGAATGTTGGGATTGGCTCTTATCAGGGGCTTTGTCGATCAGCAACATCAGTAGCGTGTCCACCTTGGTCAAGTAAGTGCTTGTAAGCCCAAAAGCTTGAACCCGAAGCCTCAATCCCCTAAACACCTACACCCTATAAACCTTAAGCCCTGAACCCTAAACCGGAAGCCCTGAACCCTAAGCCTAAACCCCAAGCCTTAAGCCCTGAACCTTAAACCCTAAGCCTTAAGCCCTAAACCCTAAACCTTAAGCCCGAAACCCAACTCCTTAAGTCATAAAGCTCTAAACCGTAAGCCCTGCACCTCAAGGCCCTAAGTTTGTTCCCCCCTCCCGCCCCCGCAAGGTTCGGCCAGTCCTCGGCCGGGAGGCAGCCGTCCAGTTCGAAGTGGCAACCAAGGAATTCCTGGTCAAAAGGGTAAGGCTTGGGGTTTATGCTAGGGGTGTTAAGGGCTTCTGCTTTAGGGTGTTAGGTTAAGGATTTAGAGTTTACTGATTAACTGGGGTCTACCTAGACCCTCCAACTACCCTCTAATATACCCCCCAAATACCGTTAGTATTATCAAAACGTGTGTTTGTCTTGATGGTTTTGGGGGGCAAGGGTTCTGGCTTAAAGCGCAAAGCAAAGAGCAAGGACACGATGGGTACTTCTGGTCGAAGCCTGGCTCTCTGGATAAGACCCTGGGGTTTCGGTTTACGGTTTACCTAGACCCCGAATTCCCGAATTCCATCTATTCCGGGCCATAAGAGCTATACTAAAGTGCGTACCTGGCGCTTCCGGGTTCCGGGTTTAGGGCTTGGGCTTGCAGTTTTCGCGGTTGGGTTTTCGGCTGCAAGCTCACCTTCAAAAGACCTCTTAGGGTCCAGGAGTGCTTAGGATCTGGAGTTACCTATGGTTTAAGTGTAGGGTTCAAGACTCTGGGATTCGGGGTCTGAATTCAATTATGATTGCCGGCTCTTGTCAAAGATTCTAGTGACGGGGTCGAGCAAATCTAATATAGGAGTGGGGATAGTTTGATAAAGCATTCCCACAATATAGTCTCGTCTCGATATTATCGTACAATGTACTCCAAAGCTGTACTTTAACAATTAAGGCCACTATGTTTGGGCAGAGCCAGCATGCCTGTGGGATTCAGGGTTGCTGGCTTAGGCCGCTTTTGTGGCTCCTGAAGGAAAATCAGATTCAGGTAGCATGTGCCATATGCTGCGCAAGCCTCGAACCGATATAATAACAAGGCACCACAGTTTAGGGCACTGCCAAACTGCAAAACATGTATAAGTTCCGTGCTCGTTTTCGGATGCTGGTGCGCTATTCAATGTAGCTTTTTAGTTAACAGCTGGACAAAGCCCAAGCCTAAAGTTGGCTTCGGAAAGTAAACGACCGCGTTGTCGACACAAACCCCCGAGCCGCTCCACGCAGACCCCTTCTGTGTGTGTGGTGTCCGTTACTTAAAGGCATACAGTAGCCTTACGCAGTGAAGGTAGGGTCCACAAGCTTTGTCATGGCCGACCTTGCGTGGAGCAGGGTCCATCTGCTTAGGCGCTTGGGCAGCCTCTGCAGCTTCTGAGCGTTTGGCACACCTCGGTCGTCTCACCCTATAGCTCGGTTTAGCTGTGGCTTTGGGGAGTTTACATTTGCCCCAAACTGAGCAACTAACACCATGGGAGTGACAATCCGCATCGATGCCAAAAAGATCAACCTCAAGAGCAGCAACAGCGACAACAAGAGTAATGGAACAAGCAGGAGCAGACAAGCTCACAAGCACCGGCAGTAGCACCAGCACATGCAATAACACTGACGCTACTATCACCACGATCATGAATCACCATCACCAAGATAGCCACTCCCACTACCACTTCCAGTCCCTGTGCCGCAGAAACTACCAGCTGTAGAACTGCCAGTAGCTGTACAGTAGCGCACCTTCAATCGTGATTGCTCTGATTAATATAACTGGGATTAAGCAAGCGTCGGGGGTGTGGGATCAATTGGGCTTTGAATATTAATTGGTTCAGTTATACCACTAGCATCCCCTAGCTTTCAACACGACATCGGTTGAAAAAGAGCGGTGGAAGTCACAGAACAGTGCTCTAAACATATGGCCAGATTGCCAGATCCCAGATTGGAAACTGCAAACCCGGCACGCATTTCCCCAGCCGGGGAGCTCTACCAGCCTGAAGCGGGAAGCATACCTTGCCGACGATCGAAGTACGACTGTTCGGAACTAATCGAGACCATGCTAATCTATAGAGATTACGCGGGGGCCTTCCAGAGGAGACGAGACATGACGAGACCCTGGTCTGGACCCTTTTGGGTCTAGGGTTGGGCCCGGGGCAGAAAATACCTGGATTGGATCGAACGTCGCGGGGACTTACAGCTAGTCCGATATTTCCGATCTAGCCGCGATGCAGCGGTTTGGCTTCACGGGATCGGGAAACGGCCCTGCGGTCGCTCGTTTTGGGGGTATTGGCCTTTGGAGCTGTCCGGTATTTGGGCTTGGTCTTAAGGGTCTGAACAGCTGGAGTTAGGGGTCGCAACAGTCTAGGCTACTCAGCAACACAAGCTTGCAGGTTGTTCTACTTTCGACCCTTTTGTTCATTTGAGAAAACCGTAACATCTGTATGCCAATAGATCTGAAGCAACAAGTACTACTGTATCATGAGTCGTAATCTTTAACAGCTGCTCCGACAGCCCACTCTGTGTGCTAGACCCGTCCCTCGACCCAAGTCTTAAACCCCAAAGCCCCCCCACTCTGGGTTCGGTGGTTTTGGACTTGTGCTGCTTCTTGAATGCTTGACTAATAGCTTTTCGCCTCGCATCCTTCTGTCGTATGCAGCTCTCGAGATGCATATCAAATCAAACCCAAGTACATCTGTCCGGTCGAGGACACTTCTGACATTCCGAATGTAAGGCTTGCGACCATGGACGCCGTCGCAAAGAGTGAAGCATTCACAGAACCATAACATGTAAAGCCCAAATTCCGCAAACCCTGAACCTCAGAACCGTAACCCTAAACTGCTGGCCCGAAATCACCAGTTTATTATTGCAGCCCGGTGACGGCCCCGCTGAGGCCCTCGCGGCATTCGCCAAGCAGCGACCCATTTCTCTTCGAACCGGCACGGCTGCAGAGATACACTGGTTATGGTTTGCGGTAATATAGGCGCCCTAACAACTCGAATCGAGTGCTGAGGCCCATTCTATAATTATAATGAGGAACCACCAAAATAGTGTAGGTAATTAATTATTAAGGCCCCTATAGTGCACAGCTTGTTCAGCAAGCCCTCCTTCTTACTGCTTCATTCTGGGCGATGAGGAATAAGATGATGCTGACAAGGATGATGACGGTTGCCAAGCGGCAAGAGGTATGGAGGATACTGGGCAGACATCGGAGGGGCAATCAACAATCTGTTGGCACGGGTGTCAGGCTTCCCAAAAAAGCATGTGGAACCTGCGAACATCCCTCATGCATAGTATCTATCTGAAACGGACCCCTTAAAGCGGATCCCGAATGTTCTGAAACTTGCAAGGCTCATCAGTGTAAAGTGATGAGAACTCGTACTGCTCTCTTGAGAATCGCTGGGTGTGGAAGGGTACAACCGGCAACTTGTTTGGGGGGTAGTAAAGGGTAGTTCTCTAAACTATAGCTAGAGTAACCCAGAGTAACTTTTTAGGTCCCCCAACTACTGCGGCACCCTTAGCAAAAAGACACTAAAAAGGATCCTAGTCTAGAGAAGTCTCAAAAGCTATCTATCCTCTTGGCCTCCTCGGAAGACGTCGGACCTTTGAAACCAACGGAACCTTTTGCCCACGAGTGCAGAGATGGCTATGGAACTGAGACTTGAACACCGTACAGTAGGGGCCTTAATATTTAGAAGAGGATTTCGGGGCCCACTATATACAATAAGAAGAATAACACGGAGCCCACAAAAATAGTATATATTGGTACGTATGTAGGCTCTTATATTAGGGTACAGAAGCTGTATGAAACCGCAACACAACGAAACCCTGGGCCCTAAACGGCCCTAAACACTACCTGGACCCCCAAAGCACGTAGAATACTGGCCTTTGATAGGTGTAGTGCCATTATTTTACCTACTTTTGGGGTGTTCAGGAAAACATCGTAAACATGCATCTGAGCTCCCTGCGCAAGGCCGCGTGAGAGGCGAAGGTCCCTGGTACTTGGAGGTTCACTGGTGGTTCTAAGTGGGGCTATAATTAGGATCACTATAGAACTATAGTTATAACCCATGTTAGGGGACTTAGTGGGGCTATAGTGAGGATAACTATAGTTATAACCTATATTAGGGGACTTATGACTCCATTTACACCTGCTCATGAACCTCCATGTAGAGCATCTTGCCCGAGATTACCCTATGTTTAGGGCCCTTATTTTTGGGTCCTTAATGGGTCTAGGGTCCTAAATGAGATCCTTGGAAGCATAGGATTAGGTCATAAAGCAGAGGTCGGTTCTTAAGGTTCGGTCGAGAACTTGGGGCTGTATGGTGCAATTCGGGAGTTAGGGCTTTAGGCTTCAGGGTTTGGGGTTTGTTCTTCAGGGGAAAGCATTCGAAGACTTGCTTTGAGTGTATAGGTTTTAACGGGCATGCGGCTTTGCTTCTCGGAGGGCTGCAACTTGCCAGACGAAGCCCTGAACACCTAACACCAGCGGCCAAACCTAAGCTGTATCAATGCTGAACCATAAATCCCAACACTCCCCAAAACCCTGAACCCCAAACCGTCAAAACAATCTAGGCCCCAACCGCAAGCTCGCAGCTAACCCCGAAGATTGATCTCCGAGAAATATAAACTTATAAAGTCCCATACACACAGCATACGACCGGCCTCAGCGTGTACCGGTCGGGGAGAGATTCCATCACCTCTTAGAGGCTCATGCCCTATACCCTTTTCTAGGGTACGTAATTCTCTATATAAGAGATCCTGACAAAAAAACTCAGTAATTACCTTAAAAGGGGGGGCAGGCTATGGGCCTCTAGAAGCAAGGGATAGGGTTCGTGGCTTGGGGTGTCAGCTTGTTCTGCTCCGCTATACACTGCAGCCTTGCCTGCCCCGATCCTAGCTTCCAGGATTCAATGTCGGGACTCGCAAAGTATGAGTTTGCAACTCAGGGAAGCCACCAGGTAGCCGTAAGCTTCAAGCCCTGCACCTTAGACCCAACATGTCTGCAGGGATGTAGGGACCATTCGGCTCCAGTGAAACTCCAAGTCTGACAGCCCATACAAAGCGAGTTCCTCGAGGAGCTTATGGCCAACCCGCCGCTTGCAACCGAAATGCAAAACAGGGTAGGGCAATAGGATGATGCACATGGGATCTCCGGTCGCACCTGCTGAAGGACGGCATTGAACTTCTGCCCCGCGAAGACCCGCCGAAGAGGCCCAAAAAGCTCGTCCAAGGCCGTCCTGAATCGGTAGAAGCATTGCACATTTCAGGCTCGCAGGGGGTCCACTGGTGTTACTGTGGTGCTCCTCGCAACACTTTCAGCTTAAGAGAAGTCGATGTATCACGGCACACGACGACTCTCCACGGAGTCCTAAACGCGTGCGTCTGGCTTCGCGCTAAACTTCCCTGTTTAGCTGTCGCCTATCGCTCACGGGGCTCTCTCCATCTCTCTCGCTCTCTCTCTCTCTCTCTCTCTCTCTCTCTCTCTCTCTCTCTCTCTCTCTCTCTTCCCTGACCTACACTCTTCCCTGATCTACAACCGCCGGCCAAACTCGACAGCTTACTTACGTGCCCTGAGTTTTCGAGGTGCCATCATCCTCGTCTCAAAACTCGGCCTCATAAAACTTCGGCCCACAAGGAGGACCTCCCCCAAGCAGTTGACGTACACCCTGAAGCCGAAGTCCTTCGAAACCCCCGCGAAAAGTTTGGAAGCCCCTTAGTTTGCTTGAAGCTGGTCCTCTCCATCGTTGGCTCAATCTCACGCAGAGGCTGCAAGATGAAACCCACGATGGGAATCTGCAGGGCCTGGGACAGAGATGTTATAGGATCTTTAAGCTTTAAACTTGTGTTCGCGTGCCGGGGATGCATTTTATCGACTTTTAATTGTGTGGGCTTCGGGAAGGAGATCTCTCAGCTTCGATTCCAAGAGCTGACTTTGATGGCTTTCAACCGCGTTTAAACACGCATGTGACTTCTGCTTCCTAACTCCATGTAGCCGCTAAGCCGCTAAGCCCATGCATCGATGCAATGGAGGTCTTAAGAGCAAGATGCCAGGGTCCCAGTCTTAATAGCCCCTCTGCCAGGATCCGTACCTAGCATGTGTCCCTCCGGAACGGGTCATACTCGGATATGCAAACCCCTTTGTGCGGTCGACCTGTCTTGCTCTGAAAAAGAAAAAAGACCCCTGCCTCTGAAATGATCATGGCGACGTGGATCATCAGGAAGCCAAAGACGATGAATGTCGGCCTCTCCTAGAAAACGGTGATCGCAGCAGAATGATCTCTGCGCTTCAACAGGCTTGCTTCAGTGGACAGAACGATGTAACATGCTGGTCCCCTAATTCTCGTTCCTGCAGGTTTGGGCTTGGGACCACCATGTGTGGACAGAAGCGGCGACTTACTTTACAGCTTAGGGAAATACAGATCTGTTATTATATGGACCCCCGGCAAGGCCTCCCATGCCCAGTGGAAGAAGCACCCTTCTGAGCTGAAGAACTCCACCTGCAACACTGGGTGCAAACAGCGAAGCTTGCTCCAATTGATACTCCTAAACCCTAAACTCGTGGCAAAGAGCAAGCTAGGCATGCCCGAAGCAGGGTTTTTTAACCCCAGCTTCTTCCAGCATGTCGTAAACTGTGCTTAGGGTGTGGCGACTTGGACCTTGCTTGCATCTTCAGGTCCAAGAGACCTTGACTGCAAAGTAGAGCCCACGATATCCAGACACCAGGTCTGATCAGATCGTCAAACATATCGACATCTCGGCTCGAAGCTCTAACACTCTAAAACCAAGGCTGCAGCATTTATCTAAGGTAGACTAGGCAGAACGGACACCGACAAGCCCGGCAGAAAATCTCTGAAACTTCGAAGCTGTACGTGCACCCAGCCTCAGAGCGAGAAAAGACGAGGGCCTGCAGAGCCAGAGAATCCTGCCCAAGACCTGGGTTTACGGTTGAGAGGCTTTCAGCTGAAAAGGATCGGATCCAGATGTTTAAGGAGGCGTACCTCGGAGGTTAGCGACTTGTCCTCAGAGAATCCGAGCCAACGGTAAAGCGTGAGTAATCCTACACCCAAAAGTTCACATGTGTATATATATATATATATGTATATATATATATATCTATGCATAAATTATTTATCTCTTTATGTATGGGTTCCTTAAATTCTCGATCACAAAACCTTCCAACCCCTGGGCCTCCCGACTGAGAACAAACCGCGCCATGTCCCCGGAGACGCGGCGCGAGGTGTCCCCGCCGCAGGGCCGGAACCGGAGCCGGCCCTGGTAGGGAAGCGGAAGCTCCTCCGGGGAGGCTTACCTTTGGTTAATCGGGAATGGAAGAAGGGTAGTAGTAGTAGTAGTAGTAGTAGTAATAGTAGTAGTAGTAGTAGTAGTAGTGGTAGTAGTAACAGTAATTCTGATGGTACCCCATTCCTCCATTCCCTACTAACCAAAGATAAGAGGTGCCAAACTCTCGAATTGCCATTCCTACTTAAAGATTTAAGCGTGGTTCTAAGTGGGGCTATAATTAGGATAGCTGGAGAACTATAGTTATCTATAAGGCTTGAATAAGGGTATAGGGTTTAGGGTCTACTTGGAGGTTCATGGGTTGTTATAAGCAGGATTTATAAGTAGGATAACTGTAGTTAAAACCCATATTCGGGTACTTTCAACCCCACTTTTAACTACCCATGAACCTCCAAGTAGGGTTTTAGGGTGATGATATGTGATGATCATAGAGCGAAAGCCATTCCTAGGTTCTAAGGTGATGATCAGAGAGCGAAAGTTCAGGACGGTTCAGTTTTAGTCGCAAAGGTTAGTTTGGCATCTGTGGCGCACCACTCAGGCAAGACGGCTTTGGATCCATATAGCAGGGACATTCGTGCTTTGCGGCTGTTCATCGCACAACCTGCTGAAAGACCAGTATCATGTTGTGTTTACCGTTTATCGAACTACAATATCTCCAACAAGTCCTCGGCAGCAGACTTCACAAAGTTCTTCCACAGCAGCTCGGTGACAAGAACCACATCGCAGTTGTGATACAGGATCAGTCCTGACCAAAGTTTTCGAAGCAGGCGTGCTTGCAGATTGGAGTTAGTACACGCAGGCTGAAGTTTCATGCGGCAGGGGTCACTTCATGTCCGCGACGCTGTAATCCTTCAGACGGCCTTCCCTTAAACTCCACGTTCCTGAAATTGGGAGCTGTGTGGTGGAGTGCGCAAACCGCATGCGCATTTCAGCGACACTGTTCCCTATAGCAAATAGCCCTAGTATAATCCCCAACCATGATTCATAATAGCCCTATAGACCCTACAACCACTAAACACCTCAACTGTCTGGTTCTTAAGGAATCAGGGAATGGGCTATGGGGACTATTATTCGGTAGTATATATAGGGACTACTATAGGATCCATTCCTCCATTCTTCTACTAAACACCTCAAGCCTCATGTAGGAACCTGATTAAGAAACCCTGGGCCATATATTTTGGTGTGCAATCGATGCCGTGCTTCCGAACTTCAACAGATGCCGCCTCTGCATGCCATGTTATGTGCCTCCGTGGCGCAGCGCAACTCCTTTTTTTTCCAGTTGCGAGCCTGTGGGTCGTGTGCGCGGGGACTCAGTCCGCTCCGCCTTCTGCTCGACGACGGCCCGCACCGCCGGTGCCATGCAGTGCTTTAAAAATCAACCAAATTAAGGCGTATGCATGATGTTCTTCGATAACTTCGGCGAGTGTCGATCTTTCAATGTATCCTCGCTTACTCGTCGGATTCAAGTGAGTCGACACTGGCTGTATCCTCTGTGTCGGATTCCGCCGTCTGCGCCGTGGATCCGGGCTGTGGCAGCCAGCTATTGCGCAGTTGGAAATGTGGTGCACCGCGACCATCCGGCCCTGTTTGCTCCATCAAGTGTACATGGGCTCCCAACGGTCCTTCACCATAAACATAGGCTTCTTCTGTGAAGCTCGTTGATACGAGCAAAGCGTGGCCTAGCCACTCGGCGACAAAGTGCAGGGCTGCACCCTCGGGCAACTCGCTTCGGCTCAGCGCTGTTGCCACCTGATGTTGGCCTGCCTCGGTGGCCATGGCGATCACGTGAGCGTGCACTGTGTCGGCGGCCTCGCGCAGCTCCTTTTCCGCTCGCGGGTTGAGGACGAATCCATAGGCGTCGCGCGGTAGAGCGCGGAGGCGGTCGATGTTTCTTGCACAGAGAACCGCGCTGAACAAACAATTCCCATCCGGTGGAACGTTGAGGAGCTCTAGTGGCGCCATGGCGGCGCTGCCCGCGCCTCGGGAGTAGCGGGATACCTTGTGCCAGTGTCGCCCATCCACCCAAGGAGGACCTTAGCCGAATTCATGTGACTATCTCCTCACTCGACAATGTCGTTGGTCAACGCGGACTCTGTCGTGCTCGCGCGATAGTTTACTTTATTACTAAGACGGACTTCGTGCTTGCGCCGGCTCCGTGGCCCTGAGGACGAATCGTAATGTCAACTGCGAATATGTGTTTTACGTGTGACCCGTCTCCGATTCACTTGTGTCTACCGTGTGCATATGTACTCACATACAGAAACAAGCCGTATAACTGCTCCTGAGTTGTCGAGGGAAATAAGACTCGAACCTGCTGGATTCGTTCGAGGCGACGCCCTCGTTTCGCACATCTTGAGGACCGGAGAGATTGCATGCCGAGTTCCAGGAATGCTGGGGTTCCGCACATCGCTGTAGACGGTGCGGCGGTGCGGCGAGGGAGGACCTGAGTGGAAGTTGCACGACACGACGGCTGCTACTCAATTTCTGTCTTCTGCTGCATTGATTTCTTGCCGATGGCGTTGGCCGCTGTAAGAATCCGGCTGAGTCGACTGGTCCGAGGCCGTGCCCTCATTGCTTACTTCCAGCCTCGGCTCGAAAGTGTTCGCAGGTAGTGTCAGCAAAGCGCGCCGAGAGACCAACTCCAATGCACAGATGCGACGTTCCAATCGCGGATCCTGCCGGGCTCGGATCGTGTCGTATTGGATCGGTCGCAGCTCCGCGCCTCGTGACCTTCGGCCGCGGCCGTCCGCCGCAGTGCTTCCAGAAGGTTCAGGCGCTCAGTGGGCGAGAGTGGGAGCCTGCAACAAGGCACTGACTGTTTCTAAGCAGGATAGTGGTCGCCGCGCCTCGGGCTAGCACCGATGCTCAGTCGGATTCGCTTGCCTGACCGGCCCCCGCGCCTGCGAAGGGCGTTCCACATCTCAAGTGTTGTGCACGGCTCACTGAGGCGGCGGCGAGACGGCCCAGACCAGAATGAGCGCCAACATTCGGAGGCAAAGCATGCTTATGGGTCTCCCGAGCAGCGGACGATTGAGTTCTTTGGCCCACACTGCGGCGGCGAGGTGCCATAGAGCGAACCCGACATCGAGTCCGGTGCAAGAGAACCGCTTTTCTTGGCCGTGCTGTTGGCGCTCGCGGGGACTGGGTCCGCGCCGCAAGCCCAAATCGGCTGTCCCCGACTACGGCTAGTACATATACTCGAAAAGCTCCAGGTGGCCTTAGCAATACCGCTACAATGGTGGTACAAAAAACTACGCAGAGGTGCTAACACCCAGACGTTGCCGACCTGTCTTACGTGCTGTCGGTCTCCTCCGCCGAGTGATCTTCCTTCGATCGGCTCACATCCAGATCTACCGCCGGGTAGGGCTCGGCCACGGACCGAGACTCGGATCCTGTACGACCATGGACCGTCGCACGCACACACGTACACACACACACGCACACACAAGCACTGACAACAAGCACACAAACACACACACATATACACACACACACACACACCCACACACACACACACACTCACTACTTCGCGACACGCATGGATTGGCCTCCGTGGCTTTGCCCCGACGCGCTAGCTGGCGACTCTGGTGTGTCGTCGCCTCCACACTAATTCCGGGGAGGAGGTTGGAACACAATGCATTACATATTGCCTAACTGCTGATGCCGTTCTGGTTCGGCGGCTTCCTCGGATCCTGTTACAGCATGACACCGTCGCACACAGACGCGACCACGCGCCACGCATGCACTGGAGTAGGTGGCTTGACCCCGCAGCGCCGGGACCCCAGAATAGTAGGAATATAAGGAACCCTAACAAAGGCCCAAAGTTTCTTAATCAGGTTCCTACATGAAACTCTAGTTCAGGGCACCAAACTGATCTCTTCCCGCTTGATCCTTCAGGGCCCCAGTCCGGTGGTCCTCGGGCCAACGCCACAAAAGGCTGAACGTCGCCTCGTGTCCCTCGCGTCATCAGCATGACCTCTCGGAGTTCTTGATTTAGGGTGCTTATAATTAGAGGAGGGACTTGGGGTATCCTAATAGACCATACCGGGATATGAATTACTGATGCGTCAGACCTGTCATGCGACATGAAGACAATGCAAAGTCAGGTCTGTATTCGTGCTTGTGGTGATACAAACGATACAATCCATTATTCACTCCGCCTCGCCCCCCCTAATACGTAATCTTCCAGGCTGCGACAGTCTCATATGCTTGTGTTCCGAGGTTTCTTGAAGCTGTCGCTTTGATCGGACAGAGAATATACGGAAAAAATGCACATGTATGTATGTGTGTATATATATATATATATATACATATAATATGTATATATATATATATACATATTATATATATATATATAATATACGTATACATTCTTTGCACTTGGTCAGATGAAGTCTATCAACCACAAGCTCCGACACAGAAGAAACCCGTGCATACAAGCTCGAGTTTACGTAGATATATGTAGCCGGATGCACATCTATGTATATAACCGTGTAGTGCATACATGCATGCCTCCAAGATCTGCACAGATGCAGAAACCACATCCTGCTACTGAGGGTACTATACTAGGGCCCCCAAAAAAGCCCCAAACCGCCAATTAAACCCTTAAGGTAAAAGCCAGAAAGTTGGAATATGATTATCCTAACCCTTCTATGGTAAATTATAGGGTATCCTAGCATGAAACCATATTCCAACTTTCTGGAGTTCCCTGTAAGGACCCTCAAGGCCCTCAATAGGTAACCCTTAAAGGAACCCTTAAAGTACCCCTTACAGGAACTTCAGGGGCGCCTTGGGTCGACTGGAGTTGGTCACCAAAGATCCGAGGGAGGATCTCGTATCCTCCTGGCTGCTGGGTGAGAAGCTAGGTTCCTGAGGCATATAGGGGCCTTTTCGTATGATTGGACTGGGGATTTGGGGGGTATATCATACTCTATAACCATAATAAGGAATGCCCCACGATAGTATTGGTAATTATTGAAGCCCCTATAATTATCGCCCCTTTGCAATAAGGGTACCCGTTTTCCTACTTTCAGGTCTCCCTAAGGGGACCCTACAACAAAAGGCTCAGGAGCCTAAGAAGTTGTGCTGAAAGGGCTGTAGGATTTGGGGGTTACCGAAAATGTGGGACCCTAAAATAGTACCCTAAAATGTTATAAGGACCCCAACATAGAGTACCCTGACTTTTCGGAAAGTCCCATTTGGGGTTTCAACGGTTAGAGATGAAGCCGGAGGCGAGGTTGATTTGCGCTGTGGCCCCTATCCGGCCAGTTAAGATAAACAAAAAACAGGGGCCATAGTATTTAGGTTCCTGAATAGCCCCTTCATAGTAACGGGTACGCTTTTGCCTACTATTCGGTTTAATCTAGGGAGGCTACAATGAAAAGGGCAAAAGCATATTACTCAGGAACCTTGGTATAGAACAGCCTTGGTCTGTGTCGGCTTCAAAGCTACTCGACTCTTTCGAAAGCTTGGGCCTTTGGGTCTTAGACGCCTCGAGGTTTCAGAGTTCCGGGCCCTAGACCCTGAACCAACACACCCCTAAACCCCTAAACCCTAAAACCCCTAAATCGTAAACCCTAAACCCTAAACCCCTCCCCCTAAACCCCAAACCCCTTTAACCTCTACATCCCTAAACCCCTCCCCCTAAACCCTTAAACCCTAAAGGGCTCGGAGGGCAGGAAGCGTCTCCTGCCGTGAGGGCTCCGGTCGGGAGGGGCGCTCGAGCATCGGCATCGCCAGGTTTTCCTGCGACTTAATGACCCTAAACATCCCTAAACCCTAAACCCCTAAACCCTAAAACCCTAAACCCTAA